AAAATGTTTACGGGTCACAATATTTTAAGACGTCCCTGTTACACAATACAATAATAAAATACAAATATTTAAATAATATACTATTACTTAGTAAAATTGGCACCATTAAATTGTAATTTTGAAATGTTATATATACCATAAAAATAAAGACCCATCCAGTCGGACGGGTTATGATCTAGTGAGTATTAATTTTATAAATTTATATTTCAATTTTAGTGTTAATATTTTATATGTTTCACCATATAATGAATTACATATTATTATATTTACAAATTATGTTGTATGATGTAAATGTAGTCATTTAATTATGTGTATATAATTGGTAGATATATCATATATTTCTCATAATTTATTTATCATATTGAAATATTGTTTAGTAAATAATAATATACAATATTTTTTAACCATTTTAAATAGAAAAAATCTATATTAAGCAAGTAAATTTTATGCTTTTAAAGAAATAAAGAAGAAATATATTTTTAACAATATGTAATATATTTTCTTAAATCATTTTTCTAAACAACATAATAATCATCATCTCGATAAAAATGAAGTTATAATTATGATTCGTCTGGGCTGTTATAAATGTGATTTGGACTAAAACAAAATATGATTAATAAAAAAAACTATTAGGATTAAAGCTTTTTTAATACTGCTATATATGTTTCCAAACATACTCATTTTTAATATTGTTATCCATGTTTCGAAACAATCTCCATTTGTACTTCAGTTTAAATATTATATATGTTTATTCATTCTAACTAACGATAGTTTTTAATCATATACTTATTTTTCATGATAATTTTTCTTAAAATATTTATTATAAAAGTAAGTAAAATGAAAATTATTCAGAGTAGTTTAAAGTAGTAGATAAAACATTTATTATTTTCCTCTTATCTATTTTTTTGAATAAATTAGTATATTTTTCTTATACATTCTATTTTAAATTTATAGATTTAGATAATGCAAAAGAGAATCAATGAAAATTGTTTTTTTATTTAATTTAGTTATATAGCATAACAATCTAATATTGATCTTTACCAATTAATAATATACATACGTATCAAATAAATCATATCATTCAAAATATTAAGATTTTTAAGCAAATATTATAGTTAGTTTTAGGGGAAATTTGTCAAAAATAACCTTAGTATTGATTTGAAAGGCGAACACATAACAAATATTCAATAAAATATAAAACTAACCTAATCATGTAACAAAATTATTATTTACCCCTTATGAACAAACAAAAAGTTAGAAAGTTATTTTAAGATTCTGTTATTCGGAAGTTTACATTTGATAGAAAATACGATACTGTGATGGATCGGTTTCGATTAATGAGTTAGAATTCAGGTATATTGATAACCCTCATACTTTACATTTATGCTTATTAATGTCTTTAATCTCATGATCATATATATATATTCTTGTAAAGTTAATATAATGAAGTGTTGCATGGAATGTTTTGTGCGAGAGTTGTGTTGGTTAAGGCTCATGTCTATTTGACTAATATAAAAGATCACGCACGTAAGAAGACGAGAGTTTTTAAATACACATACAACATAATACTGATTGTTCAGATCTAGAGATTAAAGAAGGTTTTGGGATTTCTTTTCAATCAAAGAAATCACCAAAGGAGAAGATTAAAGGGAAGAACATCAATTGGTGGGATTACATCTAAGCATGGATCAAGGTTAGTATTTTTATCTTCTTTAGAAATGTTTTAGGATTGAATTAAGGCAAATCTATTTAGATCTTGGTGTTGAAATAGACTAACATTCTCTTCCTTTTCGGTGTGAGTGAGTAGGCTAGCATGGTCTAAACCGCGTCGCCGGTGTTCCTCTGATGGTGGAGAGGGGGGGGGGGGTGTTCCTTTTCTGTCTGTACGTGTTTATTTCCAAACTAGGAAAATCCTCTGTGGGTTCTCCGTTGTTGGTGTGCATGAGGCACAAAGTTTTCAGCTTTGTCAGCCTATGCTCTCTTTCTTGGTGGTGACGCGTGTAGAGCCGGCTTGTTTCAGGGGCGTGATCTAGGGCTGCCTCATGTCCACCTTTTCTTAAGGTGTGCTAGCTTATATCTGTCTTCTTTGGTGTAGGTTTGATGGTTCGATGGCGGGTGACGACTCTTAGCAGATATTCTTTTCGAATAAAGCTCGCCCTTTGTCTTTGGGGTGGGGGGGGGGGTGCTGGGTCTCGGGTTTTTCTGTCTGCCCGTGATGGTTGTAGGTTTTGAGGTCTTTCACGAGCGGATCATTGGGCATGCAAATTTCTACCAGGTTGTATTCTCTCGGTTTCACTGTGGGTCTTTTTGTGTGCCAAGCGAGTAATTCTGATTTTGATGTGCCTCTGTTAGATGCTTGTTTGTAGTCTTGGTCCCTTCATAGTTTAGACTGAGTTTCTGTTTAGCTGCATTTCAATTACTTTGTTTTTTGCTTCCCTGTAATTTTGTAAAATAATCTGAAAATTGAATAAACTTGACATTTACACCCTCAATAAAATACAATTGTACAATATTTTTCATGTATGTATAGTTGTTTATTTAGATTTCTTTATAGGAAACTATGTTTATTTAGATTTCTTTATAGGAAACTATTTGCATATTTTTTTTTTTTGTTTTCGGAATACCATTTAAAGACTGTAAGTCATTGTAATCCTATGTAAAAGACTACAAGTCATTGTGATATGAATTGACATATAAACTCATACTAGGATAAGATCCGCGCCTTGCGCGGGATGAAACTATTATTTTTATTATGTTTTAAAAAATGAAACAATAATTCGGTTTCATTCGGATTAGAGGTGTTCAATCCGGATATCGGGTTTCGGTTCGGCTCGATTTTTTGGTTTTTCGATCATTAAAATATAATTACTATTCTAAATCTATATGTACTTCAGTTTGATATGGTTTATATACCATCGGTTTTCAGTTTATTCAATTTTATACCAAAACATAATTATTTAGTTTGAGATCATATTATATATTACACAAATATATAATATGATCATATTTAGAGTCATATTGTCACAGAGTCATTTATTAAAAAAATATTATATATTTAAATAAAATAATAAAAAACAAAAAAGGCTTATATCATCTAATAAAATGATCAAATCTAGAATTAATATCAAAATACTAAATTTTGAAAATAAAAATAAAAAACAAAACAGAAGCATGAAAGAAATTTTTTTATATTCTTCTATATTTAGTGTTCTTCAAACCAATATGTCTTCGATTGAACACAACTCTGTTTATTTAAAGATAAAAAAAATTGTAAAGAATTTCAACTAATTATTGTCCATCAAATTTATAATATACTTCAATTTAGTTACTGTTAAAAAACCAAAAGATCAAAATAAGAAGTCTCAGTTGTAATAAATTGTTAGCTATTTACAAATTATAATCATAGTTCAACTCATGTACCAAATAGATATTCATGCGTCGTTATAAATATATACATATTTACATGTTTCAGCTTAATCGGTTATAAATCAAACCGTATCCAAATCCTATGGTTTTTATAAAATCACATCCATTCGGTTTGTATGGTATATACCAAAAATAACCATATTATTGATTGTTAATATCTTTTAAAAATATAAAATTAAAAAAAGAACTAAGATATTTAAATCATTGATAACAAAAATTTTCAATGTGAAAAATTTAATAAGTTTATAATTTATAAATGTTCCTGAAAATTTATTGAAAACTTTGAAATTAAAATATTTATATAATTTTATATGGTATATAGTTTAATCTGTATATATATTTGTTTTATTATTGAATGATACTTTTTACTTATATGGTTTTAAAATCATGTATATCTTTTTATAATAAAAATGTTAAACTATTGATCATTAATTTTTAACATAATAATTTTAATAGTTTAGTTATTTATTCTCGTTTTTTTAAGTTCAAAATATAACCTATACAAAAAAATCTAAAGTTTAATTTTATAGCTAATTTGATTGTTTAATTTATTTTAATTATATAAAATTAAAGAAAAATGATGGAGGATATATAAACTGTTATCAAATATTTATTATTAGAATCATTAAGTGTCATATATATATATATATATATATATATATATATATATATATATTCGTCATTTATGGTAATTCCGTAGGTTTTATTTATGGAAAGAAAATAATATAGTAATTATATGTAAGGGAACAATCATTAAGTGTCATATATATATTAGTCATTTATGGTAATTCCGTAGGTTTTATTTATGGAAAGAAAATCAAATATTAATTATATTTAGGGGAACAATCATAAATGCTTCTATCATATATATCATATCATATCATCATATCATTTAATTTGACCAACGAATATATCTAACGACATATAAAAATCGAATGTAGACCTACTTATTTTTCAATTGAATGTAATTGACTACCTAATTGAGTGACACCTAATCATGAGGTCTTTTTTAATTATTACAAAATTGAGGTTACAATTTTTTAAATGTTTCTCATTTAATATATAAGAGATTAGCTCGTTGTAATCCTATAGAAAGAAAGTCATAAAAAAAGATCACCATATTCCTTTTTTGTTTTCAGAATACCCAAGTCATTGTAATTCTTTATAAAAGAAGTATCATTACTCATGGAATAAGAGAAACCAATTCCTTCTTTCTCTCTTCTTATCACAACAGTAAGATATTTATTGGATAATCAAGGATTCACATTGTATGGTATTGCGTTATAAACGCATTCGTCTTCTTTATCAACACATACAGAATTAGTTATATATATCAAGGCTAAACTACTTTTTCTCGTTATCAGAAAAAAGTAAATTACTTTTCCATATAAAGGGTTAAGAAATTTATAGAAATACTCTAAAAATTGAATTGGTTAATCAACAATGGTTTACAAATTGTAGTAACTTATTCTAGTTGATAAGAAATCGCATAAAAATGAAAAATAATAAAAGAGTTAAAGACTCTTTACTAACGTATCCTGGGTATGGTGTCTCGATATTATTTTACAAAATGTTCAACATTTGGGGTTAGGAATACCACAAACCCTGAGACTATCGCTAAGGACACTTGAGTCGACCATACGGGCTTTAATGATATCACAAAGACATGTATGATGATCTTTCAGAGTCGTACAACATGTTTTCCCCACCTGCGCTCCACGTGCAATTCCATCAAAGCAATCCTTAACCGCATTTGTAAGACATGATTTCCCATTGGTCTTGGGAGTAGCGTCAGCTTTAGGCGGAGGAGGGAATGATGTCAAGACTATGAAAAATGTTATAAGCAACAATGCTACCATCTTCATGCTTAGTTCTTTGTTTAATTGTTTCGCTTCCTATAGTTCTTTATAAACTTTTTTTTTTTTTGAACTAAGTTCTTTATGAACTTGTATAGGTATTTATTGAATAATCATTGATTCACATTGTATGATATTGCGTAATAAAAGCGTTTTATTTTTGCTAATCAACATGAACGTAATTAGCATTATGTAAATATAGCCGTAAGGTAAAAACTAAAGTCAACTGGTTTGTTTGGTGTAGAAAATTAGAGAAATATAATTTCTACATTTTTGTGTAATTGCAAGAAAAAAAAGGAAACAAATACGAGAAGTAGAAGTTTTATTTTCCTTGTTTAACAAGTGACATCAAAGAGCTTTGACAGCAAAAATGGCACTTGTAACGTATGTTGTTCTGAATGAAAATCACATTACAACTTTACAAAGGCCAACTTGGAAATAACTTTATAAATGATAGGTTATATCACAAACTACATTTACCTTTTTCTCACATCTAAATTCGACTGCAGATCGAGTTTTGCTGGGCCCTATCTAGTTTTGTTGTTTTATTTTACTAGGTGTTATGCCCGCACATGCGGGCTTAATAATTTTTAAGAGAATTTAAAAAATCATCAAAATAAATAATTATTTTCATCCAAAAAATTAGACCTAGAACATTAAACGTTTTTACATGATAAAATTATTCATAATTAAAAAAAAAAATCTATTTTTCCCTTTAAAACTTTGAAAACAAAATCTAAAATCTGTTTCATTTCTTCTCAATTTATAAAAAAATATAGAAACTTATCTTTCAATTTGATAAATTGAATCAATAAATATACATTCAAAAATTGATCTTACAGAAAGAATAATATTAGTTTGGATAATAATACAATATATTTGAATTTATTTTGTCAACAATGTATTTTTTTTATTATGATTAATTCATGTTTAATGTTATACTTTATAAAATATAAAATAAATTTAATTTAACGTGTGAGTTCAGAGACGAAAAATTACTTGACAAATATATATATATATATATCATTATGTTATATTATTATATTCTTTTAATTAGAAAATAATTACGTATTATAATTTTTTCAATTTTCTCTTTTCAATAATGTACAATTAAAAAGTTTCTTTATGAGTATTTATTTATGTGTTTTCTGTTTTTGATTTTTTATTAAATTATATATTCCGGATAACAACACAATATATATAGGAATTATCTTTTTTCTTTTTTAAATATATATTTATATTATGGATAATTCTTATTATTATTATTATTAATTTAAATCATTTATCTAATCAAATAAATATCAATTTCGTTTTTATTTTATGTCTAATTTATATATTTTATTCATTAAGGGTTAAACGATATTAACCACTTTAACTTTTAACGTGGGAGCTTCATTGCGAAAAATCACTTCGCAAATAATAGTATAGATTTGTCCCCCGAATTCCAATTAAATTAGAATCTCTATAAATTAATAATTTTTATAAATTAATAAATATTATCGATCTTAACTTGAACCGGTGTAAAATATGACACAAATCGATAAAATAATAATATTTTCAAAATTTCCATGTAAATATATAGCCTATTAAAATCATAAATTAATAATCTATCTATAACTAATTTTATATAAGTACAATCTAACATTATATTATTGGATCTATATTTACAGTAAAAATACTTTTATTTCTTTTTAACATTTTATTATATTTTCCTAATATTTAGTCAAATTAATCAAAAATCACGTAACAATTCTATAAAAGATAAAAATATACACTAAATAAGATAATAAAAGAGTATAAAAGTCAAAATTCTAAAATTTAAATAATGTACATACGCTAAAATCAAATATTTTTTATTTTAAAAATAAAATGGAAAAATAGAAAAAAAAAAATCTAAGTAAATTTTTTTTTGTAAATTAATATCTCTATAAATTAATAAAATTTCAAAGTTCTAACATCATAAAATTAATAATTTATAGAATTTTTACTGTAATTGTTTTTTATAATATGACTATACAGCGTCTTATGGGTACAGGCTTCTGTTTTGTGTATATGTATATCACAGTACTTGAGATACTGAGATCTGAAGTGAGGAAAAGTCAGCGATGAGGAAACAATAACATTTCTGATACGCAAAATCAAAAGATCATCAAAAGTCAAAATACAAAGTGCTCTCTTTACATATATTATTATAAAATACTTGATTACAAATCATATAACCCATCAAAAACAAATACATAATCACACCATTCCCAATCTCCATCAAAGATTCAAAGTATGCAACTTTTTCTTCTGTATAATGATCATGCCAGTAACCGAAACACACAACAAGAGTCCAATTTGCGGTACAAGACCAAATGAATGCATCCAGTATTTGAAAGAAAAAAAAAGAAAAGAAAAGGAAGAAGAACTAGGACAGGCGAAACCAGAAACTGACCAGTGATGAGGATGCACACGATATGAGAGCTGTGAAGTAGCTCCTATCTACTTATGAAGGAGATGGTGGGTTTTGATCTTGCCTATGGGGGTGTTTCGGTCAATGTCAGAAGATCAACAATCCCTCTGTTTGCACTCTTGTGTTTCATTTTTTTTTTTTGTGTGTTTGTTATCATCATTTAATCATAGCGCTTCTTTTGCATTCCAGCATTGATCCGTCTTTAAGAGCAGCGTGAGCTTCGTTCTCTTGCCCTAGAGCTGAGAGAGCTACAGCTTGAAGATAAGATGCGATATGCCAAGCAGGAGATATCACTTGGGCTTGCATTGCATCATTCAATGCCTCTTGATGCATCTCATTCATTAGGTAACTCAAACTTCTCCTTGCATAAACAGTTGGAGAAACCATTGTCCCACCCTCGATAAACTGTTAATATATTCTTAGCATCAGAAAATTGTCACTAACTTTTGATCTGAAAACCCTCAAAAACACTCACCTGAGAATAGCATTCCGCAGCATTTGCAAAGTCTTTATGCCGGAAAGCGACATCACCCTTTTTCTTGAAGTTCAGCGAGTCCTGCATCTGGTTTGTCCACATCTGGAACGAAAGCTGAATATTTTGCAGAAAACAAAGTAACAAACAAGCCAAAAAAGGTGATCAGATTACAATAAGAGTGATTAAAAATAAGGATGGTATTAAGAAAAGAACCTCTGTGGCTGTTCCCTCGTCATCTTTATATCCAAGTTTTTCAACAATCTCATGTATGGCAGTTAGGTCTGTTCTTAGGCATGCTTCTCCAAGTGGTGAAAGAGCCGTTGTTGAGGCACTGCTTGGTATGCCCATCAGTTGATGAGAAGGAGTCTTACATGATTAAAAAAATTTAAAATGCATAAAACATATCAGCCAAAAGAAACAAGAGATTGAGAAAGAAGAGAGAAAAGTGGTTGTAAAAGAACATACCTCAAGATCCTTCTGAAGAGGAATCATTGCAGTGACTAGAGATTTTGGGTTAGGGCGTTCTCGAGGCTCATACTGCAAGCATCTTGAAGCTAACCGTACTAGTTCAGTCCCGTCATCACTTGAAAATTGACCCTCCAAACACGAATCTATCAACATATGAATGTTCTTGTCCCGTATGAGGTCCAGCGCCTACCAATACACAGAACAAGTAAAGTTCAAAACTAGAAAAAAATACACTTTCTCTGTAATGAGTGACTGATTTAGTATCTTAACCAATAAGCTTACATGGCTTGGAGGAATGTGTTTTCCACTAAGAAGATCAAGCAAGAGAGTCCCATAACTGTACATCACACTTTCTGGGGTCACGCGACCTATAGAAACAAACAACACACATACAAAAACTATTATGCCATATTCGTCACAATCAAAAATAAAGCAAACTGATCCGCAAGGTTTTAAGTATATCTACCTGTTCTGAGATATTCAGGAGGAGTGAAAGCCAGGTTAGTACTATAACTCTTACCATCTCTACTGTTTTTCATCAGACCAAAGCAAGAAAGCCTTGGATTCGAATCCTAAACAAATAAAAAAACCATATGATGAAATTCTATATGCACACATCGACAAGGAAATAACAAATTAAAAATAAACTTACATCATCAAAGAGAACTCTGTAAGCATTAAGGTCATGGTAGAGAGCACGCCCTTTCCCAGTACAGTATTCCAAAGCTTGAGCAATATGTAAAGCAACTCTTAGTCGCATTGCCCACTTCATCGGTTGTGACTCCCCTGAAACATATTAACAGCTTCTGTCTCAAACTTTATGTAAGCATACATGAGAGTCATAAAGAGAGCTGATTCTTACAGTGAAAAAGATGCTTAGCCAAAGTTTCGTTGGGCATAAACTCAGCAACAAGAAGTCTCTCTTCACCTTCATAGCAACACCCAAGCAGATTTGCCATCCTAGAGTTCCTTAAGTGACCAACAGCTTTAGCTTCCTCCTATTGAAAGAAAATAAACCAAAGATTCAAGAACCTAGATTGAGAAAAAGGTAAGGAGGTTTAAGTAACACAAGATGTTTAATTTAGTTACCAGGAACTGACGAGAATCAGGCCAAGCTTTCCTGTTAAACCTTTTGACAGCAATACGTGTTTGGTCATCAAGTTTCCCTTTGTAGACAACATTAGGAGCTTTCTCCCCATGCTCTGATACTACGTTCTCTGTAGCAAAACCTGATGTAGCGTTCCTTAGCGTCTCGATGGAGAATTCACGAAACTGAGGCAGATCATTCTCCTCACCTACGTGACCTGAGAGAAACAAAAATGCAAATCCACGATTTAACAACAACAAAAGGGTCAAAATGGATGATAAGCTAATAAGTATTACTACCTAAGGCTGTGACTCCAAGATTGGATTCTGGTGGCTTTGAAACGCAACAAAATGTAAATAGCTTTGAGACTTCACCACCCATTTTCAGTATTTTGAGTCAAACCATAAACCCCAAATCAGAACCTTGAACAGATCAAAAACCGTGTTGGGTTGCTTTGAAAAAGAAAAAGAAAAAAAAAAACAGATCAGACAAAACACAGTTGTTGTGATGTCTGAACTTGCAAAAACGATACTAAAAGGGTCGATCAAGATCAAGAAAATGATCGGTGAAAGAAAAAAAAAGTAAGGAATTGAAGTTGGGCAAAGAAGAAAGGGGAAAGGTAGTAATGAGTAATCGAGCCGCTCGTGTGTGTGCTTAGCTCGAGAGAGAGAGAGAGAGAGAGAGAGAGAGATAAAGCTCAAGAACCGAAACTTTTCTATCCTTTTTGTGGAAGACAAAAGCAGAGAACTTTTGCTTAAAAATTAAGACTTTATTTTACTTTTGTGTGTTTTGTTTGGGTCAAGTCAAGTGTAGGAGAGAAACAGCAAAGCAGGCCACACCAAGTCAACTCACCAGCGTGGTCTGAATAAACCTAAGTAACAACTCATCTTTGCTTTCATACACCACCTGTAACAACCATTTATTTTTCACTTATGAAAAACAATATTCGATATATGCTCACATTTTATAATAATTCTTTCCACCTCATATATTTTGACAAATATGAACTATACATAATATATGTGTCCACCACAACAAAAATATTACACTGACAACAGAATCAGAATGTTGTAGCTGACCTTAACCTAACTCACCAATCAAAAACTTGATCACATTTCTCTCGATAAATAACAATTATATATATATAACTCGAAGTTTGTAGTAGCCAGCATTTTTCATTATTGATGTTACTCAATGGTTTATAAGACTAGTCTAACGGTTAACAAAATAATGTTTACAAATATTTTATTTACAACTAGGGCAGGATATTATTTTAAATTTATGTGTTATATTATTTATATATGTGTGTGTCTTTTCTCTTTTATATATTGTATTTTTCTTTTATTATATGGAATCACCATTTTCGTTATAAAATGAAAATGTTGGTTCACAGTTTTTTTGTATTAGCATAGATTGTTTATTACTTTTCCACTATGTCACTACGTAAAGTAAAATATAATGCATTTTTTCAAATGAATATATCTTAAAATTAGATGTTATATCAAAGTATAATAATGGTTACATGATACATATTGTATTATAACTATTAATTTACTTTATAAAAAAATTGCAGCCAATCATGTGACAAAATATTTATCATAAATATACAATATACTTTATCCTCACATACAATTTGTTGAAGCTTTTTTTCAAACCTTTTTGAATCATTATATTCGTGTTATGTAGTAATGCCGATTTAAAACAAATCAGATTTTTTTAACAGACCTAACCATCTCTGTTTAAATTACATAGCTGTCAATATTATTCTTTTTTTAAGAAAACAATAACTTTTGTTGCAATGACGTCTAAAATTTTTTTTTGTATGTTTGTTTATGCAACTATTCATATGCTATCACTTAAAATTTTCTATTAAACAATTTTATTCTCTGTATATTATAGCACAGTGGATGGACAACTTGAGAAAGATTCAACTTATGGGAACACGAAATTCTGAACAACGAGAATCTAACTTGTATTCAGAACTGGAAGCATTACGATAGGCAATGAAGAGTATGCTACACCATTCGACATGTCAGACCTTTGGTACGGATTGCAAGGATCTGATTTCTATGATAAAAGAGTCTCATGCCTAGCTAAGCTTTGCAACAGAATTGGAGAGGATGTGACTTTGTAGATATGCTTTTCGAATTTCAAGATCATTTATATTCTACAAGCATACAATCAGATTTCATAAATAGGACAGTGAGGTCTTTCCATAGAGAACTTTATTTTATTGGTTGTTCTATTTCGGTATGGTTAGTCATGTCACCTCAAGTTTGAGTAATAGAATAGCCGTTCGTTGTAAAAAAAAAATTGTCAAATAAAAGGTTCAGTTGTAGTAGTTAGGGATCAAATCCACAAGGAACGTGGACACACAATACTCAAAACACTCAAGATTAAGCTAGACTAATTTATTAAAAGTAGTAAACAAAGCAGTTGGTTGATTGATTGGTTTGTAAGCAATATGAGAAATTAGCTAGACTGGAGTTTCAGGCAATCATAATTATATAGATATAGAATACTTAGGGTATGTGAATAACAATCCTAGAACTAGATGTCTAATGTAAAGATATCCAGCTTTCGCATGCGAGTCCTATCATGGCTAAGTCCAATGTTTCAGATGTCGTATATTAACACTGATAGATCGATGCCATGGAATGAGCGTCGATCGACACTGCCTTAGGTAAGTGTTATCGAATTGATCGATTTGTTCACTAATCTTACTAAATCAGATGTCGCATGTTTCTAGCATCCTATCTTAAGAGAATCTATTCTAGTGAAGAACCTACTATTGTAGTTCTCTATAATCCTAAGTTCAGAATTATAGTTATTTACTCTAGAACACAAGCATTAATAGCAATTCTAATGAACAATGTATTATGAATTCACCCTAGCAATTCTGTAGTTTTGGCTAATCCATCAAAACCCTAATTAATCCCTAAACCTAGTAGAGGATCTATATAGTTTTCACAGAAAATCATAGATTAACAGATGAAAGATAAATGAATAATAATAAAACCAAAGCCAAAGGAGTTCCAGGAGGACTACGAAGGAGTTTCAGCTCTTGGGAAGATGAGACACTTTATGTGGAAAGCTTTAACATGATGTATCGTGAAGACATAACGACTTGCCTATAAACATTTGGGCATTGATTGGAGCTATCCTAGATGCGGTGACCTTGAGGAAATCATAAACCATCTTCTTTTTTAATGTCTCTCTTCCCTTAAGATGTGGACTTTATCAGACTATTTGTCATTTCCGTGTTACTTCCTGAGTATCTTTGTTTATCAAAACTTGAACTTTTTTTGAAAGAAGAAAAACGTGACCAATGGTACAATTGGAAGACACAGAACAATGGGAAATACGTATCACCAATTGACACCCTAAAACTAGCTTCCATTAAAGTCAAATTCAGAAGAAAAGAAAACTTACATGAGGATGGAAAAGACGAGGAGCCACAAACCGTACCATTGACTACCTTGACTCTCCTTGAGGACCCCCAACGTCTGATCTGTCAAATCGATGTTTCATGAATTGATAGTTGAAAGATCTGGACTTCAAGGAGGCCACAAAAGTTTGTCACTCCTTCATGCTGAGATGGAACGACTCATATGGGTGATATTTTTAAATAATACTTTCGACGACTAAAATTGATTTAAATTGTTATGATTAGGTGAGGCCGATATAGCAAAATTTAAAACCTAATTGGTTGATTTTCTATGTTTGATGTGGACACTCTCTCGAACCTTTAATTTAGCTCATTTTATATAATAGGATTTTAACTATTATTTTTTTATCCGACGGTTATTTTATCATTCAAACTTTATGTGGTTTAGGTAACAACCAAAGTAACAAAGTTCTCTATGAAAATATCTGGCACTCTTAGCTAAAGAATCTTAAATTCTATTTATGCCCTTGGGATATGAGCTATCGTGAAATCTGGAAAGCATATATGCAACGTCTTAATATCCTCTAGTTTTGTTACAAAACTTGGCCAAGCTCGAGGCTCCTTTCTCATTGCGATCAAATCCTTACAATTTGTCCAAAAGCATTGACATGAAAAATGTTGTAGCATGTTCTCCATTGTCCATCGCAATGCTTCTACTTCCAAATGTAAAGCAGTCTCTCGCCTCCTTAAATTTCGTGTTCCCATGAACTGTATCTTCCCACAAATATCCTTCCGGACCCAACCAAAACCACTTTACGGTGTTGTGGCAGTCCATGAACCATCTACCATGCATATATTATCTGTTTATGACCTGGAGCTCCTTGCTACCATGCTCCTTTGGAGTGGAAATCGCAATCTCATAAGTATTAAACCAAAGTTGATATTCACTTTCTACATATTGGACTAACTCAAAAGGATCTCGGTTAATCCCCTTAAAAAGTTTATAATTTTGAATCTTCTAAATATACTAAATTATCCAAAGATAAAGATCCTTATCCAGTTCTGATTCAACAATACTATTCTTTCTCTAGAAGAGATAGTCCATATTAGCATAAATATATGGTAACGGAAAACCATTGAGATTACATGGTTTTGCTGATAGAAACTATACTTACAGAGCTGCAAGACATTCAAATATCGTATAAATAACAATTTTTTTTGGTTTCCCACGTATTTGGACAATGATTATCGCATTTCATTACAAATACTCTCTCTGTTCCTAAAAGATAGATTTTATAGTGTTTTCACACATATTAAGAAAACACATTAAATCACTATCGTTTTTCGTAATTTTTAATTTTCAACAATTTTTAGCCAATAGTAATATAATAAAATCAATTATTTTTTTTGAAACTTGTGATTTTCTCATAGAAAACATAGAATATACATCTTTTTGAAACGAAATATTTTTCCAGAACATGGAACTTTTAGGAACGGAGGGAGTATATTTTAATATAATTGACATATGGCCAGATAACATTTTGACAAGGGCCTGATCATTGGATTGAATCAATATAACAAACTGTCGACAAAAAATATATGAAAATTTCAATAAATATGGTCAAGATTTCGTAATCTTTTGTTTTCATAAGTCCTTTAATGAAAAAAAGACAAATAAGCGGGGTATATATATATTTGAGTAGTATTTTGGGTCTATTTGAAAGATTAAATGTTTATAGGCCATTAAATGTTTAACTGATCGTACCCTTGGATGCAATTTTCCCTCCAAATCAGAAAATCCCCCAAAATTTGGAAAATGGCGACTTCGTCTTCAACGTTATCCAGCGGCGGTTACGAGATCCCGTGGGTAGAGAAATACAGGCCGAGCAAGGTGGTCGATATTGTTGGAAACAAACGAAGATGCAGTCTCAAGGCTTCAAGTCATCGCTCGCGACGGCAACATGCCCAATCTTATCCTCGCCGTGAGATTTACTCTTCCTATATTTCAAGTTTTCTTATCATCTATTGAAGTGTATTGAGGGCTAGATATGTAGATGGATGTTACACCTTTCCCTTGATAGATAAGCTTACAACTAGTAAGGACTTGGTTCTGACTTCTGATATATGCAGGGTCCTCCTGGAACGGGTAAAACCACTAGCATTTTGGCTCTCGCTCACGAGCTACTTGGCCCCAATTACAGAGAGGCTGTTCTCGAGTTGAATGCATCTGATGATAGGTAATGTTTATGTTTAAAGCTAGTTTTTGTTACTCTTTCTTGATTTACTTTTTCGTTTGTTCTTGTTTTTGTGTAGGGGTATCGATGTTGTTAGGAACAAGATTAAAATGTTTGCGCAGAAGAAAGTCACACTTCCTCCAGGGCGTCATAAAGTTGTCATTCTTGATGAAGCTGACAGGTTCGTGTGCCTTTTCACTTGACTCTTTTCTTTTACCTTTTTGCTACGGTCTTGTACCAGTCAATTTTTTTTGAACTGGTTCGGTTTTGGGTTTGTGAAATCAGCATGACATCTGGAGCACAACAAGCCTTGAGGAGAACTATTGAGATCTACTCAAACTCTACCCGCTTTGCACTCGCCTGTAACACCTCAGGCAAGATTATTGAACCCATTCAGAGTAGATGCGCCCTTGTTCGATTCTCTAGGTTGTCTGATCAGGAGATACTAGGCCGTCTCATGGTGGTCGTTCAAGCAGAGAAGGTATGTTTTACATACTATGAATTATATCCCCCTGTTTGGCCTTGGCTCAGGTTTTTGTATTTTAATCAATGTAAAGAAAGATTAGCTGAACATTTTTTAATTGTTTGTGTCCTCAATCTCTCAAGGTTCCTTATGTACCTGAAGGACTTGAGGCGATAATCTTCACAGCTGATGGCGATATGAGGCAAGCTCTGAACAATCTGCAAGATATGAGGTCTCTCCACTTATTTTCCTTTGTTATTTTTTCAGGTCTGTGACCAACCTCACCCGCTTCATGTCAAGAACATGGTTCGCAATGTGTTGGAACGTAAGTTTGACGACACTTGTCATGGCATGAAGCAGCTATACGATCTAGGATACTCTTCTACCGACATTATCACAAAAATTTTCCGTATAATAAAGAATTATGATATGGCTGAGTATCTGAAACTTGAGTTCATGAAGGTATACAATCTGATTTCTTCTTCACATCATCAAAATCGTCTTTAACGCCAATCATATGTTTTTCAGGAAACTGGATTTGCGCATATGAGAATCTGTGATGGAGTTGGATCATATCTACAACTATGTGGCCTTCTCGCTAAGTTAGCCGGTGTTCGTGAAACAGCGAAAGCAGCTTAGGCCAATTAGATTCCACTTATCACTCTATTAATGAACCTGTGACTGGTTTGTATGTTTAAACCGAGTTGGTTAACTCTCGTTGTTTCACAGTTTGGATCTTTGTTCAAAAACTCGCCCGAGTAGGCGATTACTCGTCCGAGAATACGTAACTCGGAGACCCACCGTGGTGTGTTGGTGCTGATCGGTGGTGTTAGGCGTTGACCCGATTTTTCCGGTTTTGACCGCGTAATCAAAGAAATCGGCGAGTAAATCTGGAATCCGAGTTATTTATAATCTGAAAGTGGTAAAGCATGTATGTTCAAATCCTTTTATCCAACAAAATCCACAAGTTTTTTTATCGAGCTTAGATCAAAACCAACAAAAAAAGAATAAGAACAAGTGAAAGGTGTAATAAAGCTGTATTGGAGGCGAGGGTTAATCTCGTAGGTAAGGGATGAAGAAGACAAGTGTGAAACTAAATGTTTATCCTTCATTAAGAAAATATTTAAAAACTGCAAAACGAACCAGTGATTCTAACTTGTGTTCCCACAACTCGAAAAAAGCTTCTACCCACTTGGCCCATCAAACTTTATCATTCATATGTAACTGATTTACATCCGAATATCTCTCCTCTCTCTCAAGAGAGAAAATTCTCTCTTCCTCAAACCTCCCTTCTTACCAAATACAAATCTTTCAGAAGGGAGAGTTTGATTATGTTTTGTTTGTGAAATAGTTTCGATCTCCTAGATCGATTTTTAACTTCGCTTGGCGACTTGTGTTTCGCTTAAGCGATCTTATCTTTCGTTAGGCGATTTTGGTGTGATAAGTTTTTAACCAAATCAGAGCCGCTTATCCCTCGTTATTTTTTTCTGATATGGTTTGAAGCTAAATAAAGTTTGAGAATCTTGCATATGTTTTTTTGCCCCTTTCACAAATTATTAAGATCCCGTGTGTTTGGTTTGGTTCTTCTTCTCTACCGATTATGCACTTTTTTTTTTTTTTTTTGAATTACATTAAAATCAAACCGGAAAACCAGGATACAGTTCGGATTACAAGCTCGATTTGAACAAAATTTCCCAGGCCTACTAATTGCTAAAACTAGCTTCGCCCACCCACTAAACCCGACACATTCCGCTAATCCGCTTTTAATATCCATAGGAATCAGTTGCCGTTCTCTGCCTTAACGATGACCACCGGAACGTGAGGTTCACCTCGTTTCCTCGGATGCCAGGAATTCCCATGTCGTCTCAGTAGTAGCTAGCTTCCGATGAACGCTTCGAAGCTTGTAATCGTCACCATCAATGTGCGCATGAAAACGATATAGAAGAAGGGTTGAAGAACGCAAACCTGAAAACCGCTCCAGAACCGTCTATACGATCTCCTATAACGCCCAGACCATCTCATGAACAAATTGACTGATGAAACTCCACTGATCAAGAACGGGAATGCAAAAATTCGGGCACAGAACAGAGGCAGCTGATCGAATCCAGTAGAAACTCCAAGACCTGCTAATAGCTATAGCGATGCAACATTACCATAAGCAAAAACTCATGGTACTGGGATTTGCTGCAACACCGACTGAAACCACCAAGAACGGACGAACTCCTTAGACCACAAGAAGCTTTCACAATCCTTGCCAGTCGCCTTCTTCGAGAACCGAAGCAAGGTAAGCTTGAGACGTCAAGAAGAGAACCGGTGGTACGGATCAATTCAGAACAAAATAATCACAGGAGCGCTAAAACCCAAGAAACCACGTCGACATAGCTTCACTGGGAGACTGAAAGCAAAAGCCTGGAAGAGGATGATAAGATGAGAGGAAGGTCGCAGCCTCACCTCGAGAAGACCATAGACGATGTTCCCGACACTGTGTCACTGCAACACTCCACGCGCCACCATCACGGGCTCCGACACACGCCAGCAGACCGGACTAAGCACGCCTTTGAGATAATGGAAGCCTCCAAAGCTCTCACGGCGTGGGTAGACAGAGAGAGTCTTTCCAAGACACCAAGAAGAGACAGCCCCTCAGCACCACACGCACCTCATCTTTCGAGGAAGAGGCAGATCAAAGACCACACCACTGAACCTTGGCTGATGAGCAAATCAGACTCCTCCACGCGCCACCATCCTTGTAGGGAGCTTAAGGGACTCCCCATGAAACCCTAAAAGCCGACAGCATCGAAAGAAACCGCACCATCTCTGCGTCTAGACTCCACCACCGAGAAGACCACGCCAGATCCGGAGCTTCTGTCAACCGAAGACGAAGGCCGGCGGATTCCAGATAACAGAGCCATGAACAAGGCGGAGAGGGAGAGAGGAAACACTTCTGCTGCAAATAAAAAAGAGAGCTAGGGAGAAGGAGAAAAGCCTCCGGCGCCGGTACGCGCAGTGACGCGCCGTCCGGACGCCGGAGCAAAGTCAGATCTGGAAGTTTAAGTTGAAACGCGAGAGAAAGAAGGGAGAGAAACGCGGAGCAAAGTCAGATCTTCCGATTATGCACATATTCCTTTCATAAAGGAGTCAATCTCTACTCATCCTTGAATGGATCCGAGATCGGTGTAAGAGTAAAGTATCCTTGCAGGAAAGGAAGACTGTGATGATGAATTTATCTTGGTTGATATAAGGGGGATCCAGCAAAGTCGGCATCGTTGTATGGTCCGATAAAGAGTCCTCACTAAATCAATTGAGTCTTTTCTTTGTCTCTAACAATTGGTATGGATAGGAGCTCTAATTCAAACAACGGCTTTGGTGAAATATTAGAGGTTAAGGAGTACTGGAGACTTTGTGGCGGTGAAGGTGATATTTAGACGGTGGTTCATTGCAGAGATCTACCGGCGGTGGAGTTTTCCGATTTGCATGCTTCGTTTGCCACGTTTGCTTGTTCCTCTATTTAGTGCTTAGACCATCTCCAACAATAGAACCTTCATTTGAGATCTAAATCAATTTTTCAATTAAAATTAATCAAAAAACAAAATTTAGATACTTGTAGAGATTTTACTCTTCCAATGGTAGAACCAAACAAGGGTTCTAAATTTCAAAAATTTGAAAATTTGTCATTAAAAAAAAAATACTTGCATCACACTCCATTATATAAATTTGTGCAGATGAAAAAAGAATAAATTCAATAAAATCGAACCTGTACTGCAGTTAGCGGTACCTTTGGAAGATATCTTCTTGGTGATCGTTGGACTCAGAAAGCCAGTCCAAGTTGCAGAAATCGTTGACTCTCTCACTCGAGGTCACTCCTTTCTCACTATCATCTGCATCAGGTTTTGTGGCAGAGCCACTCTCTCCGGGCTTTCTTGAACCAAACAGCCAATTGGGTGTCTTGAGCTGAATCTCACTGTTGTAGATAAAAAAAAGAAGTCAGCAACATTAAGCTAACATTCGAAAAAGTTATGGTTTGGTTTCAACTAACATCTCCCTTCTTATCTAAACCAAAAAAAACAATATTTTTACTTTCTCATACGGTTAAAAGTCCTACTAAACGTAAGGAATCACTGTTCAAGAGATAATTAGCCATTCCAAAATTTCCAGTCAAGGGCCTACTAAGATGATTGAATTATTTTGAGATGAGGGTCATTACGCTGCATCAGGAGCAAAGAACATCCAAAGCCTATCTCTAAACAACTCTTACACAATCTCCAAACTTAAAAAAACAATCAGAGAACTCAAAGCAAATAAGTAGAATAAGAGCATTGCTTACTTTCTGGTCACTCAGCAAGAGTAGGATCCTCCCAAGACTGTCCAGCAGCTTTACGAGGAACTCTCTTCTTAGTTTCAGCTTTGTGTTCTGTCTCGCTACTAGCCAAAGCAGCTTTCACATCTCTTTGAAACAACTGATGCGCCTGCCAACATTACACACAACCAAATCAAAACAACATTAAATCATATTAATACTCCAAATCAAAACAACATTAAATCATATTAATACATTTGAGAAAAAAAGGAAGACATGAGAAACCAAGTCTCTCTCAAATTAGACAACAAGTGAGTGCTCTGAGATCAAACCTGGTAACTTCTTGTCCAGACAGAACACAACCAAGTTAACGGTGTACCTGAACAGAGAAAGAATCAAAAACAACAAGTCGTTATCTTTGTATTGGGAGAAAGGTTCTTACAATAACTTTCTTTGCGTGATAGTAGTAAAACCATACCAGGCAACAACAACATCGACAGTGTAATGTTTACGAGAGGCAATGATCAAGAGGCTCTGCACGAAAGCAATGAGCCACCAAAACAGCTTTATGAACCTGAGAACATAGTATATAAACAAAAGAGCGATGCAGAGATGTCTTTTTACAAAGTAGCTTTTAAAGAGTTGATAGAAGTTTTTCTTTTACCTTTTATTACACAAAATACTCACACACAAAAGAAAAACCTAAAGATCAAAGCTTTAATTCGTACATCAAGATTCAAGCTTTCGTAACAACCATCACACAATCAACAAAAACTAAATGGAATTTGAAAAAAACCCTAATTTGAATCTCAAATCCCCAAAACGCTAACAATCCCTCGAATTTTTGAAACTCCTACTAACCTGGTACTGGGGTAAGAGTATACGGCGGGAACGGGACCAATTGGCTGAGGATAGACGGTAGCTCCGGGAATAGTAGCAACCGGAGGAGCTGGAGCAGGAGACGGAGCTACGAAGGGCAGTGGAGGCTGGTAAGGCGCGGAATAGTAAGAGTTAGAAGTTTATGTGTATTGAGAGGCGGAAGATGATGATGAAGAGGAAGCTCAAGACTGCGAGAGAGAGAAGACGGAACTCTCTTTTTTTTCTCCTTTTGTTTAAAGCCTGTAACCAATGAGAGAAGACCACGTTCTATTTAGATATGCATCCAGATATATCTACAATTAGATACAACTCTATCTAATTTTCTTATTTTTGATTTAATTAAAATCCAATTAATTAGATAGAACCTCACTTAGAAGTGGGTTAGATATGCCTTTGGAGATGGTCTTAGTGTAAAATATTTTACTTATGTGTTGTACTCCTGTGCCTTCGGGCTTATGAAATGCAAAAGTCGACAAAAAAAAAACTGATTTACATAAATATGTGTTATATTTATATAAAAGTTTAAAACAAATCCTAGTAGTTTGAAGAACATTTACAGTAAACTATTCTTTAGAATGTATGAAAATTTATATTTTGTGAATGACAAATACAATTATATTTCTAATTTATTTTGGTATGTATTTACAAATCCATTAAATTCTTTATACATAAACATGTTTTATACAAAAAATTTGTATTATACGTATAAATAAAGTATTATACATATAAAAATACAAAAAATTCCTCCCTGCGTACTCTCCGATTTTTTCCGCTTTTCTAATAAATCGCTAGGCCCGGGTGTACCACACGTATAGCGCCTAGTAGGGGTGTCAATTGGTTGGGTGCCCATGGGTGTGGCCCAGTCCAGATTGTGTTGGGCGGGTGATGGGTAAGCCCATTTATTTCATGGTCCAGTTGGGTTAAATGCTGAGTTTGCCCATGGGTATGTTGGGCTAATTTAATTGGGATATTGGGTACCCATTAGACAAAAAAAATTAGGTTTTCTAATATTGGGGGAAAATTGAAAAATCGTTTTACGACTTCTTCTTCTCCAGACGATGAAAGATCAATCTGAGTATACGACTTCTTCTCCTGGACGATGCATCTCGATTCGTCTTCTCCTGGACGATGCATCTCGATTCGTCTTCTCTGAAGCTGATTCTCCATTCTCTACGTCTCCTGGTCTGACATCTTCTCGCGATTTTCAGGTATGGTTCATGGTTCGATCTCGATTAACTTCTCGAATCTGTTGTGGGTTTAGCTTCTCAAGTTTAGTTTTAGCTATCTCTTCATCTTACAGCACGAGAGGTTCTGTGAATCTGTGATAATCTTAAGATTATAATCTGTGATAATGTTTATTTAACTTTTGTTTTGTGAATCTGTGATGAATCTCATATGTGAGAGCAGAAGTAATATGTGAGTTGTTGGAGCCATTTGCTGAGATCACAAATTTGATTTCGGGATCCTCTTACCCAACTTCAAATTTGTATTTCAATGAAATTTGGAAGATTGAGTGTTGGTTGAGAGGTCATGCAAATTCTTCTGATCCTCTTATTTGTGAAATGGTGAAGTGTATGAAGCTTAAGTTTGAGAAATACTGGGACGAGTACAGCGATATCCTTGCAATTGCTTCAGTCTTGGATCCAAGACTGAAATTTGACTTCTTAGAATATTGTTTCTCGGTTTTGGATAAGTCTACTTATAAGAGAAGGTTGAGTAATGTTCGTACAAAGATCTATAAGCTGTTTGGAGCTTACAAGAAAAACCAGAGAATCAGTAGTGCTGCAACAACTTCGCAAGGAGTAATACACGATGTTCCAGCCGGTTATGGTGTAAGTTATGTTCTGTAATTATTTCTGATAAGTGTTTATGATTTTCTGATATTATATAAGTGATGTTAACATGTTCTTCAGGGATTCTACGCCTTCTCTTCTCAAAAAGCTGTTGGCAGTGGCAAGTCTGTTCTCGACATATATCTGGATGAGCCATTGCTTGACATGTCCGCTTACAAGAATTGGAATGTGTTACATTACTGGAGAGACAACTCAGCTCGGTTCAAAGAGTTGGCAACAATGGCCCGAGAGGTTTTGAGTATACCCATAACAACTGTGGCTTCAGAATCTTCGTTTAGCATAGGTAGTAGAGTGCTTAACAAATATAGGAGTTGTCTTCTACCTACTAATGTCCAAGCCTTGGTCTGTACAAGAAACTGGTTAAAAGGGTTTCCAGAAATGGGTTAGTGTTGCTTATAATCTGTTCATATAATAATTTGCTTCAGAATCTTCATAATTTTTCTTTTTAAGTAGGTGATGAGTGTGTTGAGAAGACAGAAGAGGAGAAAGAAGAAGGTGATAAAGAAAAGGAGAAAGAAGAAGAGAGTGGAGAGTCTATCGACTTGACTTGAGGTATGATCTCGTGGACTATATTATTTCACATGCAGCTGTAAAATTTTATGCTCCTTCTCCATCATAGATGCCTCACTGTTATAGACTCTTGACACTTTTACATTTTGATTCATGCATATAGAATCTGTGATGCTTTTGCTGAATTTTCAGATCTTCCTTCGATTTTAGATGATTTTGACTCTTGGATTAGTACTGTGGCCACTAGTTTTGTATCATCTTTTGTTGGAAGTTATGCTTACTTGTATTACAAGCAATGTTATCTCTCTGCTAACTTGTACTGTGAGTAAGTATGAGCTGTTGTTGATCTATTGTGAGTAAGCATGATAAGTTGTTCTTGATCACGTATCTTTCGTTACCGTATCACGTTCTTGATCACATGAATAGTCATTATATTTCTTTGTTTTACTCATCTTTGTTAGTTGAATATTGTATCATGCTTTATGTTTCTACTTTATTGCATGAGGTTGAATCTCTTTGTTTCCTTCTTGCAGGCTGAAGACAAGTAGACAAGCTGGAACCAAGTGAATCATAGAGAAATATTAGTAGCTTAAACAGAAAAAGAAAGTTATTAAAAAAAATTTATAACCTTGCATTATAAGTCATATTAGAATTTTATTTTATTTCTGAAAAAACATATTTGAATTTTTATTGCTGAATTTAAAGATTTCTATAATATTTATTTGCTATAAGTATATAAGTTTGTACATTGAGTTTACAAATTTTGATTATGAACAAAATTGAGTTGATTGTAAAAATGCAAAAATGGGTGGTCTTGGGTTATTTCCAATGGGTATGGGCTAAGTTGGGTTTGGGTGCTAATGGGCATGGGTGTAATATGGGTGTGGGTGTTAAATGGGTGTGGGTGTTAAAAGGCCCAACTGGAGACACCCATTTGGGTGTGGGCCGCCCAGTTGACAGTCC